AAAATAATAAAAATGTCAGAAACAATGCAACAAAATATTGTGTATTTATGATATAAAAAAAACTGCGTAATTAACATTCAAATCTTTCTACTATATAATTTGATAAGTATGTAGTAATCTTATGAAATAAATAGTATTTTTGTTGTTGATTTTGGTTTTTTTCCCATATCTTTTTAATTAATAAATTATGCTAAACTTCATAATTGTCACACAGATGCTCACCGTAACGGTCGTTCTTATTCTATATAAATAATAATAAGTATTTATTTCTCGTGTATTTGTGGGCTATTTCAAATAAATTTGTTAAAAATTATTATATTAAGAGATTTAAGATATATATAAATGCAAAATTAATTTCATGGTTTTTATAACTACGCAATTTTTAAAATGGATTTAGTAATTTTTTAATTTTAAATTGTTCTGTTTGAAGAATCGATATTACGTGATTTAATCACCGTACGATTAGTATTCTAGAGTACATGAATACAATCCAAATACACTCAAAATATGTATGCTATCTGAAACGATTATGATATCAGTCTGTTTTTTTTTTTTTTTTTGATCTGAAAGCGACAGTCCTTAGCATCAAAATTAATAAAGGTAAAACATTATAATATTACAGGTTTATTTATAAAAGACAAATTGATTTTATTAACAGGTTATTTATTTATCTTAAATAATTTAGATAATTTGGCTACACAGAAAATCCATAGCACTCAGTAGCTTAAATTTTTATCGCATACAGAACGTGATTTCTTTTTAATAATCGCTACCAAATATGGAACCTGACATAAATTTTATTATAAAATAGTTGATTTTCTCTATCACGTCAATTTTGTGTCTTTGGTATTGAATTCTGTCACACATTTTTTTTATAATGTATGCAAACATCTTAAGAACCTTGAACATCACGCAATGACGCAGCTCTATTATGCACAACTGTCCAATCAACGCATTCCCAAAACCGATCTATATACGTTTCCTTACCATGAATTCCAAAATCCTTAAGATACGCATGCTCCCAAACATTTAAACATAATAACGGAGTGAATTTAGATTTGTGTGGTGGTGGATCTACTAGATTCAATGCTACGGAAGGTGGTGGAACTGGCTTAGAAGAGCCGGCGTTTGAGGCAAATAGTGAGGACATTTGTGAGGAAGTAGTCAAGAATGGAGATGACAGGAAACTTGTTGGGTGATTGTTTGGATCTTTTTCTTGGAGACGAGTGGTGTCAAGAGTTGTGCCTATTGTAATATGGATTATAGTTAAATTCGTTAACACGGCGTAGGATCATATTATATTAGTGCCTAAGTTGATTGGTGGATTATATTTTTTCACCTGCATTATAAGTGTTTACCACTCTGAGTTGTTTAAATTCTGTTTCAACAAGCCTTATTGATACGCGTAGATGGTTAGAATATGTTCATTATTTTTACTGACTTCAATCTTTTGTAATTACTTGCCATGTCCATCCGGAACCAAATAGTCCCAATGCCATATCTTTAAACTATATATTAATATATGATGAAGTGATTAGAAAATTTCCGAATCGGAAGTGACGTCATAAATAACAATGATTGGACT